CAGGTTTGGAACGACATGAGGGTGAGTAATTAATGACATAATTTTCATTTTTGGTTGAACCATTCTTTTAAAGGGGTCATATGATGCGATTTCAAGTTTTCCTTTCTCTTTGGAGTGTTACAAGCTGATTGTGCATAGATAAGATCCCGGAAGTTGCAAAGACTTAAGTCTCAAAACCAAAGAGATATGCTTTATCAAAGTTAAGACTCTGACACGCCCCCCTAAAACGGCTCGTTCTAACACGCCCCCACATATCTACCTCACTATGTGGAAATATTTGCATAATGCCGCCCAAATGTGCACACAAAGAAAGAAGGCGTGGTTTCAGTAACTGCAGTTAGTGTTGAAGCAGCCATGTCAGGGAGACTCTGTGTGTTTCTAGGCGAAAGCAAAAGCACTTTATTTGGCCTTCCGAAAGTAGATGCATTTAGGAATCTTTAAGATTACTTACAACAGAACAGCAATGCATTTTATGGCCGACCGTTTCGTGAACCTAGGAGAGGAGTTTATTTCTCTGTAAATACTATCCTATATAAGATACTTAAATCCACTTTAAAATCTGATGGCTTAATTTTTTTTCCCATTTTAATGCATTTTAAAAAGACGCACTGCATTTACATACATAAGTCTTAAAGGTACAGTAACAAAAACAGCCTCTTTAATCTAAAGGTCATTGAGAGGGTGGAAAATAGTTACAGAAAACGAAAAAAAAAATTCAAGATTAAAAACTTTGTTTTTTAAGAAACCTTGAGTTACGTAGGATTGAAGTGAAATTCAGAAATATGCTATAAAAGAGTAAAATATGGGCCCATCCCAACCTGATCATAGTGCTTGAAGCAAGCGGTTTGTATCAGGGTGGGCTGTAAGCTCACTGGAGCTGTGATAGATGAGGCGTACAGTCGGATCAAGGATGGGATGGGGCGGAGAGAGACGGAATGAAGATGGACAGGGGAGAGAAAGGATGAGGCAGTTGAAGGTAAGCCATACCTGTCCAAGGATCCCCCCCATCATGCTCCATATGGCTTGGCCCTCGGTCCTCAGCTGGCCATTGACATTCTGCAGGTCCTCCAGAGACTCGCACAGCTGTGGCAGATAAAACCGCAGCAAGGCGGGAGATAAGATAAGACAAGGACAAGTTGGGCAGCTTAGTCTGTTACACACACACACACACGCACGCACGGACGGACTAACGTACAAATGCAAAGGTGTACACAAATCTGTGAACATCTGAATGCCCAATACATGCATACACTTTCACTGTGCATTACAAAATCCAGGTTGATTTTAGGCAAACAACAAATGTTACACATCAAAACACTCTCGTGCAAAAAAATAACATTTCCAACTATTAACAGATTCAGAGCCCAGCACACCATGAAATAAGGGATTACATTCCCTGCGTTTACATCCGTCTCATTTAACTTTAATAAGCATTAATCTATATAGTGAAGACTGCAGTGTTGTTTTACATTTGACTTTTTATACACTGTTTATTTTATCTGTATATTTGTTCTATTGTATTTATTTGTGCCATTACTTGATCTTATTTTATATTTGACTATTTACTTGTCTTTAAAGTAATAATTCACCCAAAAATGAAAATTTACTAAACCTCAGGGCATCCAAGATGTTAAGTTAAAAATGTCTTGATGGATTTCTTTATTACAGACATACAGCTTTTCACTTGACAAGACATTCATTGACGGACTGGAGTCGTGTGGATAATTTGTAGATTATTATTATTATGTTTTTTGTCAGTGATTATGACTCTCATCCTGAAGGCACCCATTCACTACAGAGGATCCATTGGTGAGCAAGTGATGTAAAGCTGAACAAACAAACTAATCTACATCTTGGATGCCCTGAGGGTTAGTACATTTTCGGCAATTTTTGGGGATGAAATACTGCTTTAATATTGTTGAAACGTTATATTAGTTAAACTAGATTTAGCTGTGGTATCGAAATTGGAATTGTTTCAAACCACCAACCTAGGTAGTAGTTAACGAAGTCTGCCGTGAGGGCAGGCTGCTTATGTTTACGCCGTCCGTCCACGCTTGCGCTGGTATCAGATGTGTCCACGGGGAAGATGTGGTGTTGACAGAGAATCAGAATCTTCTTAAAGGAACAGTTCACGCAAAAATGAACATTAATTCACCCTCAGGCCATCCAAGATGGAGATCAGTTGGTTTCTTCTTCGGAACAGATTTGGAGAAATTTAGCATTATGTCACCTGCTCACCAATGGATCCTATGCTGTGAATGGGTGCCGTTAGAATGAGATAAAAACAACACAATAATCTACAAGTAACCCACACGACTCAATTATCATCTTGTAAAGTGAGAAACCGCGTGATGTAAGAATTTTTTTTTTGCATTTTAAATTTAAAACAATTCGCTGAAATTATGAAAAGTCCATCCCCTGTTGTCCGCTTACATTTAGTCCATCAATATATTTGCACAAGACATTATTTGATGGACTGGAGCTGTGTGGATTACTTGTGGATTATTGTTATGTTTTTATAAGCTGTTTGTACTCTCATTTTGACGGCACCCATTAACTGCAGAGGATCTACTGATGAGCAGGTGATGTAATGCTAAAATTCTCCCAATTTGTTCTGATGAATAAACTAACTTTTATACCATATATAAGTCAAATGGACCATTTTTATGATACTTTCATTATGATGTTGTCATTTTAGAGCTTGGTTTACCCCAGTCCTCATCCATTTTCATTACAGTAAAAATAGTGGCCAGAATATTCTTTAACACCTTTAGTGTTCCACAGAAAGAAGTCAGTCCAACAGGTTTTGGAACAAATGTGGGTGAGAAGTAAAAATTCAGTATTTGCTTTGAAATGGATTTGAGGATTTTTATTTTTTGAGGAATCCTTTAAAAAGAGTTAGATAAGAGCTGGAATGTTAAAATCATGACTCTAAACATTACAAAGCTGGCATCACAAGAATGCGACTGTGGGGAAGTTGGGAGAAAAACATGAAATAATGCAGTTCAAAGAGGATGACCACACACTGACCTCTTCTGCAGCAGCTTCAGACAGCAGCCCTTCTCGTTGAGCACACGTAACGTGGAAGAACGAGCGGCACATTCCGGCATCACAGCTGATGCAAACACCTGTTCGAGCAAAGCGTGCGTCTTCGCACAAACTGCACTCCTGTAAACCATTAACCCAAACAGGATATTGTGACAACAGCAAATGACAGAAAACTACTAAGAAAATATGACAGGGAAAACTTTCTAGCATTTGCTAACTTCACATCTTCTTACTTTCCCTCTAAAGACTTGGGATTATTTCTATTTTTGCAAAGTCAAGAAAGGTAAACCGAAAGCTGATTGTGTAACACAGCTTTAATATGAAAAAAAAGATCTTTAAACACCATTATAACAATCCCACATTCATTTACTGTATAGTTCTATATTGAAGACAAGGTGGACAACGAGTCTCTAAAAGCCCATTTGACTTTCT